ACATTCCCAACCCTGACTAGACGGACTAAATGATAAACTCTTTGAAGACACAGTCTGTGGTCCCCACACCCCCACCCGAATTTAATGTGTTGGTTGAATAAATGAACAAAACAATATTCACAGCCTCTGCGACCACCCCACCCCCCACCAAAAAAAAAAATTGCCGAGCCCATTTTAATCTCCTGTTGAAAGAAGTATTTGTTCCTAAAATTTGATTTTGCAGAGCTGAAGTCTTATCAAGCTGCTTGGACATTAGTACTAAACATACGAATAAAAACAATCACCTTTGCTCTCCAGGAGCAAAAGAGAGACATAGAGGAGCTAGAGCCTCTTCTTTGCTTTGTGGAGTTGTCTTGCCTGGCTTTGGAGGGGGGTGGGGGGGAAGGAGATGCCCTCCAAAGTTTGGGCTTGGGGTTGACAGGGAGCTCTCCTGCTCACATTCACACAGGGCCGGGAAGGGAGTAGACCTTAAAAACTGCCCCAATTCTTCATGGGCAGAGGAAGAAACAGAGACCTAGGGGCAGTGGTCTTGTCCAAAATCATAAAGCTAGATGGTGGCACAGCCTAGATCGAACAGTTTTCAAATAGTGTAGTGAATCAAGCAAGGTACTAAAACCTTTCTGCAGAGACCCAAAGGTTAGAAACCCAGCATCTGCGCCGGGACACCTGCACCCCGATGTTTCTAGCAGCCATGTCCACAATAGCCAAACTGTGGAAGGAGCCTCGGTGTCCATCGAAGGATGAATGGATAAAGAAGATGTGGTTTATGTATACAATGGAATATTACTCAGCCATTAGAAACGACAAATACCCACCATTTGCTTCGGCGTGGATGGAACTGGAGGGTATTATGCTGAGTGAAGTAAGTCAGTCGGAGAAGGACAAACATTATATGTTCTCAATCATTTGGGGAATATGAATAATAGTGAAAGGGAATAGAAGGGAAAGGAGAAGAAATGTGTGGGAAATATCAGAAAGGGACACAGAACATAAAGACTCCTAACTCTGGGAAACGAACTAGGGGTGGTGGAAGGGGAGGAGGGCGGGGGGTGGGGGTGAATGGGTGACGGGCAGTGAGGGGGACACTTGACAGGATGAGCACTGGGTGTTATTCTGTATGTTGGTAAATTGAACACCAATAAAAATTAATTTATTAAAAAAAAAAAGAAACCCAGCATCTGAAACCATTCGCAAGTGCTACGGTATTATGCATAGAAAATAAATGTGACAACGTCAGGACTAAACCTGGAGCCTATGCTTCTGACATTGCTTGGTGTTCAGTCTGTATGTTGAAGAACCTTCTACTGTTTTTGAGTTCGGACTTGGTGGGCAGGGAAGACAGGCGTTCCTCAATTCCATTTGTACATGTTGCCTAAGAACATGCAGTAGACACACACTTTTCTGCTTTGGGGAGCATGAGACAGCTTCCCAGTCCTTGGGAACATTCTCACCACCAGAGGGGAAGCTCCTGAGTCAGTGGATCTAGGGAACCCAGTCAAGGGGTCCATGCAAAGCAGATCGCTCCTGTTCCAGGGGAGAGTGATTAACAAGGTACCTCCTCTGCTCAAGAAGGAAGAATCCGCAGACCCTTTCTTTCCAATGCCACCTTGATTAATTCATTAACGGGTTTTCAGGCAAGTTTTATTCAGGCACTTTGGGACAGGGCAGTGAGTCAGAGGTTGGCATTGACACCAGAATAGAAGCCATAGTCCTCTCTGGGGATCTGACTCTGGGCTTTAAATCCCCAGATCACACAAGTTCTTAATTGGAAAGAAATGTTCTTAAACGAGCAGGGGTTTTGCCAGGCCTGCCAGTGACTAATAAGGTCGGTCTAAGGACTGTCTGATGAAAGAGAAGTTGGATTTACATGTCACAGTGAATTTTTAAAGTATTTTCACCCCGAGGTTTACTGCTGAATATAAATAAAATATCTCTCCTTGGGCAACCCACCCCAACTCCTGCAGATATGCCTCCCTTAATTAAATTAACTTTGAAATGACATTCAAACAATGTCTTCCACCCCGACGCCTTTGTTTTCTCCAAGATCTACCTTACAGACAAGCTGTTTCACAAGGTTCCCGTGTAAACTGATTGCTTCCCACTCTCAGCCTGCACACTAATTGGAGCCGAGTTTTAACGTCTCTACAGCCAGTATTGGGGGGCGGGGGGAGCTCACACCGTATTCATGATACCGTGTACCAAAAGGGCCTGCACACTGACAAATAATACCAAAAATTTTAAATGGGAAAAAATTATCTGGGGGGCTTAGAGGTGATCGGAGCCATACAAAATTTAAATTTCATCTGCTGAAATTCATTCACACAACTGAAGGCTAATTTCCGAGTTGCAGTGTTTTGTCTGTGTGTGTGTTTTAGTCTCAAAAATCGGGCATTCGCATTCGTACCGAAAGCCGCTCTCGGCTCAGACACGTGAAGTCCGAAGCCGGGGCTCCCCTCCCGAGCGCGCGCGCGCAGGCGCGGGCACACACACGTGGACACACACTCACGCACACGCGCCCGCCCACACCACCTTCCCTGCGAATCGCCCGCGGGATTTATGGGCTTCGCCAGCACGGATTACAGTCAGGTGCAGAAAGCAAGCCTTTGTCCTTGAGCATTTTCCTCCCCCCCCCCCCGGATTTGAGGGTTATTTACGGGCCACGTGAGCGCAGGGCGGGGGGCGGGCAGGGAAACAAAGGCTCGCGGTGCGCGGCCAGTGTGGCCCCGGGGGCCGCTCCCCGGCTCCGGCGACACGTGTGAAAGGAGCCCAGACCCGCCTCGGGCCGAGAGGCTCCTCCGAGAGAAATCTTGTGCAAGCCCTTGGGAAGGGGTCGGGGGTTCCCGGGGCCCCGAGAGCTCGCAGCCGCCGGCCTGCAGAGCCGCGCGCCTGGGCCAACCGGGGGGAACGGGACCCCGGGTCGGCCGGGGCTCGGGGGCCCCCTGGAAGGGGCGCACACTCCTGGCGTGGCAGCGAGAGGGAGTCTTGGAGCCCTGCAGTCGGCTCCGCAGATGGGAACCCGGACACAGGCCCCCTGGGCCCTCGGGAGGAGGCCCCTGCCCCCCGGGAGAGGCCACGCAGCGAGCCGCGGGCCGCTGGCTCCCACCCCCGAGGGCCGCCCCCGGGCGCGGTGTGGCCCCTTCCAGGGCTCCCGTTAGGCTGAGCGGCGTGCCTGCGGCGTACGATTTGGTAAAAAGTCCTCAAAAATGCAATGTTTTAAAAGACCTTTACAATTAATTAATTAATTGCAAAAAAAAAAAAACCCCAAAAACAAAAACCTGCGAACAAAATATTAAATCTTAAATAGAGACGGGACCACCGCAGGGCCGTGCTGAGCCGTTCCGTAGCGCGAGGTCACAGGAAGATGCCCTCCTCGGCCCGGGCCGGGGGATCCGGGGATTCGCGGCGCAGTGGGAGGGGAGCGCGGGCGGCGGGCCTCGGAAGTGGCGGCCCCCTCCCGAGGCCCGGCTGCGGAGCGGAGGGGGGCCCCGGGGCCCGGAGGTGAGAGCTCCAGGGAGCCGCTGTGCCGGCAACAAAAGCCGAGCGGAAGGCCGAGCTGGGGGCGGGAAGGACCCCGAGGGTTCCGCGGCCTCCGCTGCCCCCCGGGGGGCGGGGGATCGTGCTTCCAGGCGAGACCCGGAATGAATGCAAGCCTCGGCTCCGCTGCGACCGGCCTCAGGAGCCCCGTCCTTCCCCCCGCTCCGTGGCTCCTTCTCACTAACAAGATTTGGCAAGATGTCGGGCGAATAATTTTTGGCTTCTGTCGCGCCCCCCGCGGCGCGCACAAACCCCCAGCCAAAGGCGGCCTCTGGGCAATTAAATGCCTAAGTCAAACGGGGGGCGGGAAGCAGGCTGCGGGGCCTGGAAAGAGCGCGGGGGGGGGGCGCAAGGCCTCGGGTCTTATTAAATCCTTTGCGCGTCAATTTCTCGGGGTCTAGCTTCGCACCAAGGTAGACCCTAATTGTCATTTCCGGAGAAAGCAACTCACACGTACCGAAGATGGGAGGGGGGGGGACTTTTCGAAAAGCCGAGAACGTTAGGTCCCCTCCCTCCCCCCAGGATTCAATAAACATCTTTAGGAAGCGTGGACGGGAGTGGCAGCCCTGCCTTCCTCCGAGGGAACCACATTCCGGCAATTAATGCCTCCCTCTGGGTCGTAAAGCAACAAACCCAACACCTCGCTCCTGCTGGGCTTGGGGCAGGAGGGCTTTTCCCTTTCATCTCGGGGGCCGGGACTTGCCCACGTTCCCCGGGAAGCTATAAAGCTGATTTAATGGCTCGCGATGAAAATCGATCACGCTAATGCACCAGCTAAGGTCTCGAGGAGTCGCGCTGGTGAAAGGACCGGCCAGGCGGAGCGCGCGCTCAGCCCCGGGGCGAGGAGGTCCCCGGCCGGGCGCGCCGTGCAGCGGGGCCACGTCGCCCGGTCCCCTCCGGTCGGGGGCGGGGTAGGGGGGGGCCTCCGACGCTGCTCAGGGCGAGGCCCGGACGCTCAAACGGAATGAACCCTAAAGCGCGCCCCGGCCTCGCTCAGGCCGGCTGCCCGGCCGCGGGTCGTCTGGGCGCCGAACGCCGCGGCGGCGGGTGGAGTGGCTGCACGGCGACTAGTGCGCGGCGGGCCGGGGCCGGGGCGGGGGCGGGGGCCGGGGCCGGGGCGGGGAAGGCCGGCGGGCCGCGCTCCATTCACAAAGTGCCCGCGCCGCCGCTCGCCTGCCGGGCGGAGGCCGCCTCCCGCTTCCTCTAGGTCTCGGTTTTATGAATGGGCCTGCCGGCGAGCGCCGAGCGCCCTGTTTACTCCGCTCTTTGTGACGTCGCGTTCCCATGACCGGGCGCCAGCGGCCCGCGCTCCATTCAGCGCCGGGGAGGGGCCGGCGGGGCGGGGAGCCGGCGCGGGGGGAGGGCGCGCGGCCCGGAATGGCAGGAGGCGGGGCCTCGGAGGTAGTAATGCCGCGGCCCCCTCCCGGGGAGCGCAGAGGAGCCTTAATACGGCGGGCAGCCCGGGACGGAACTCCGGCCGGGCCGTGCGCGCAGCTCCGGCTGTCGGTGGGGAGCGGCGGCGCCGGCGGCGGGAGCGGCACCGCGGGCAAAATACGATAGAGGCCGGGGCAGGGGGAGCCCGCGGTCCTCTCCCGTAAACACACTCCCTGCCGCCGCCGCCTCCCGGTCCTGCTGCCCGAGGCCGCTCGGACTGCTATGTAACCCGGAGACCGCGGGCGAAGGGGACCGGGGAGAAGAGGTCCGCCCGTGGGGGGCCGAGGGGGCCAAGTTTGCGGCCACTTCTGCGCGCGCCTCCCTGAGCCCCGGCTCGCCCCTGCCTGCAGCCCGGCCGGCCCAGGTGCCCTTCGCCTCCTCGCGCGCCCGGCGACCATGGTGACGGTGGAGGAGCTGCGGGAGATGGACTGCAGCGTGCTCAAAAGGCTGATGAACCGGGAGGAGAACGGTGGCGGCGCGGGCGGCGGCGGCAGCCACGGCGCCCTGGGGCTGCTGAGCGGCGGCAAGTGCCTGCTGCTGGACTGCAGACCGTTCCTGGCGCACAGCGCGGGCTACATCCGAGGCTCGGTCAACGTGCGCTGCAACACCATCGTGCGGCGGCGGGCCAAGGGCTCTGTGAGCCTGGAGCAGATCCTGCCCGCCGAGGAGGAGGTGCGCGCCCGCCTGCGCTCCGGCCTCTACTCCGCGGTCATCGTCTACGACGAGCGCAGCCCGCGCGCCGAGAGCCTCCGCGAGGACAGCACCGTGTCGCTGGTGGTGCAGGCGCTGCGCCGCAACGCCGAGCGCACCGACATCTGCCTCCTCAAAGGTAAACTCGGGCGGCGGCGGCGGCGCGCGGGCGGGCGGCTGGGTGCAGCGGGGCTTGGCGGCCCGCGCCGCGGCGGCCCGGGGAAGAAGTGCCGGGGGGGGGGGGGGCTCGAGGCCGGGAGCATCCCCGCGCGCTCCTTTGTGCGCGCCGGGGCGCGTGGGTTTGCCAGCTTTTTGTGCGTCTGTGTGCGAGTGCGGGTGCGAGCGCCTGAGGTCCTCCGAGACGGAGAGGGTGCGTCTCCCCTGCCACCTGCCAGCCCGTACTCTTGGGGCGCTCTGCGTCTGTGTACACCCCCCAGCCGGCAGGCCTCCGGCCCGGCGACCCCACCGCGATGCCCAGCTGCGGCCCAGGGGGTGCTCCCAAGTGCCGCTGTGCGGGTGGGGACGGGCCCGGCCTGCTGGTTCGGGGTGCCCGGGCCCGCTCCGAGTCCCGAGACCCCGCGAGGGTGAAGAAGGGTGAGCGCCGAGCGGGCCCCGGCCCCGTGAGCGCGGAAAGGAAGCCCGGCTCGCGGACATTGTGCCGAGCTCTGCGTCCCGCCCCCCGCTGCCCGGCTCCGAGCTCCGCCTGGAAGGTGGCCGGCTTCGCCCGCCTCGGGCTAGACCCCAGCTCCGGGGGCGGGGCGGGGGCGGGGGCGCTGAGCCGGCGGGGGACGCGAGACGGGACCGTGCCCCTGGAGTTCAGGCCGCGCGCGACCTTTTGTTCAGACGCGGCTCTCGGCCCTCGGCTCTCGGCTGGCGGCGCGTGCTCGCTCTAAGGGGATCCTGGCGAAACTTCGGGGGACGCGAGTTCTTGTGGGACCTGGAGGCCGGGAACCCCCGGGGGCGGCGCGCCGAGTACCTGGAGGGCCCGTGCGCCGCCCGCACCTGCCTGGCCTGCTGCGGCCGCGGGGGGCGCGGGGGGCGCGGGGCGGCCCGGGGCGGCCCGGGCGCTGCGCCCCTGCCTCCCGCCGCCGCATTCCGCGCATTCCTGCGCCCGCGTCCGGTCCGGCCTCCGTGCCCGGGAGGCGTGTCAGACCCCGGCCTTCAAAGAGCCGCTCCTGGCCCCGCGGGCGCCCTTCGCCTCCTCTCCCCCGTCTCCTTTGCCCCCCGGACCTGCGCCCCCGAGAGGAAGGGAGGTGGTGGCGGGAGCAGGGGCGGAAACCTCTCCCCGCCGCTCTGCCCAGAAGCTCCCCCCGCTCGGGGCCGGCGGGCCCGGCTCGCCCCTGCCGCACAGCGGGGGGCTTTGTTCTCGGCAGTTGTTTCCTGGCCATTTGACCTGTCAGCTGCCGGGGAGGTGCTGCCGTTGACCTTCGGATGAACCACTAAGGCGATTTTGCTGATTTTTCTTTTTCTGCGAGGGCTGCCTTTTGCACCCCCGATCGAGCCTAATCCTCTCTTCTCCCCAGAGCGCTGTAGGAGAAAGTGCCGGGCAGGGGGCGCCCGGACCTGGCCCTCGTGGCCTGCCCGGGCCCGGCGGACGCCCGGCCGGCTCGCTGGGCGCCGGTGCGGGGTGTGGAGCCCGCCTGCCCTCCCCCGCCTGGGGCTACGGTCGCGGCGACCGTGCGAGCGAGGTCCCCGCGCGCCCCGGGGCCCCAAGCCTGCGCCCTCGCCGCGGTCCCCTGAAGGCGGGGCCCTGCCCGGGGCAGCGCAGACCCACGTGGAGTCTGGGTGCGTTTTGTTTTGTTTCTCTTCCTGGAAGGAACCCGGAGGGGATCGCCCTGGGCTTCCGGGCCCGAGGGCACTTAAGCCCCGAGGGAGGGAGGGAGGGAGGCAGGCATAGTTCTACGGTTTCCTTCCTCCGGCTCGGGGCACCTCCCTGGCCCCCCGGGGAGGGCGCGCGGCCCATGGATTCCGGGAGCCGGCGAGGCCGATGCTCTGGGTCAAGCCAGGGGCCTCCCGGGGAAATGACAGCCCCCGAGGAGGACTGGAGCCTCCGAGTAACATGACAGCCCCCTGGCTGTTGGCGGGGCCTCTGGCCAAAGGAAAAGGAGTGTTCGAGGGGCTCTTTCCTCCCTCCCGAGGCCTGCCCCGCTTCCCGGTGTCTGACCTGGTGCGGCCCCCCGGGCAGCGGGAGGCTTCCCCGTCCACATCCGTTAGGGCCTAGGCCTGGGCCGCAGGTGGAACTAACGCCTCCTCGGGAACAGGCCCGGGGAGTAGCCAGGAAAGGTTTGGCTAGGTCTTCTAAGCCAAAGGAAGCCTGCCTTTGGAAGCAGCCCCCCCAAAATGAAGAAGGGGTGATGGTGCTGCTGGTGGTGGTGGTAAGGGGCTAGTCCTGCAGGGATGGTAGGACGGTGGCCAGGGGTAACACGTTCCTATTCTACTTAACCTAGCTTATTTTCATACATGTGCTAAGGAAGAGGCAGTCCTAACACTCTTCCCCTTCCTCCTCTTGGCCCTCTGGTGAAAAGCATCCCTAGTGAGGCCGGGAAGAACGGGGAAGTGTTTGCTCCCACACGGCTGGGAGAGGACAGCATGCCTCCTAAGTTCTGGTGGAGAAGATGTGGGTCCATGGGAGGGCCCTCTGGGGGGCAGGGAACTAAAGGGAACCCGGGAAGAAAAGCCCCGTTGGTTATCTTTAGTAAATGCCCGGATTGGCAGGCGGTTGGCTGATCTGCTTCCCATGGGAGTTGCTCATTTTCATTTCCATGTGAGGGGACTCTGTGTGTGTCTTGTTCCACGGGCGGTTGTGATTGTGGAGTAGAAGTTGCCAGACACTAAGCCGGTGGAAGACCCTATGGTTGGTCTCTGCCAACCTGCAGGGACAGAAGAGCAGCAGAATATTTTCCAGAGTTGTATTATCCTTCCCAGCCAAAAGCTATCCAGTTCTACCAACTAATTGTGTTTAAAAATCTCAGTTTTCTGTTTCTGCCACTTGGAAGGGCAGTAGTTACTCGTGGCGGGGAGTTAACTAATGCCACACGCAAGAATTCACCGTTAGAGTAAATGTTACTTCTGTTAATAAAATGCTGCCTAGCCTTTACATTTCCTCGTATTATCTAAGTTTTGCTAAGAGCAATAACCTAAATCATAACATTTTCTGATCTTTTTGCTAGTAAATGATTCCCATGGGCATAAACCTTTTTTTTCTTTTTAACTTTACCCTCTAAGCTTGCTTTATTTAAAATCTTGTAAGGCATTTTTAGGGAAAGTTTAGAAATCTCAGCTTTTCAGATTTAATTGCAATACACATCTCCCTTGAAGTCCCTTTCTGTTTCCTTCGTAAATCCTCCAACTGGGGTTTTCAACCCTGGTCATTAGACCAGAAAGATCATTTTTCTCACCCTAACGGAAGTCATTCTTTGCGTCTCTTATTTCTCAAATAAGTCAGTCTTATGCAGATTTTAGGTATAAAAACACTACTTTACTTTTCTCCTGTGTAAAATTCATCCGGCTCGACTTTTGTCCGTTTTCATGAGAGTTCTGATTTAAAAGTTGTCCTGGCGCTGTTTTGAGAAAGGGCGATCAGTTCAGATATTCTAGCTTCTTCCTCCTGGAACTCACATATGCTATAGTCCTAAGGCCAAACCAATACAGATGGTGACATTACACTTTCTGTAGAAAACAGCCTGCAAGGCTGGTGATGGAGAGGGGAATGCCCAGCCAGCAGCCCTGGTAACTCTGGTGACCGTCTTGTCTCTCTGTTCCCAGTTGCCCAGCCCATCCTAGCCCCCCGCCCCCGTGAGGTCAGTGGCATCAAACAGCAAACCCCAGGGTGATATGAGGCTGCACACCTCCTCCACCCAAAGAGAAACGGATTAGCTTTTCTTCTTATAGGCCACAATGCCCACCGCAGCCAGAGGTTGAGAGCCTCAGAATTACAGAGTGGTAGGCCTTAAAGATAATCTCCTTCGATTATAATCTATTAAAGAATGACAAGGAATGAAGCAAACTCATTACTTTTTGCATCATTTGATACTGGATGCTTCCAACGTACAGAAGTAACTAAAGATGGGGTGTAGGTACAAATTGAAAGTGAAAACCTCATCATTATTAAGCCTATCACAGCTCCCTTGGGCATGTTCTTGAGGCTCTTAGGAGAAATGGGCTTTTTTTTTTTTTTTAAAGATTTTATTTGAGCGAGGGAGACAGACTCCCTCTAACCCCCCCACCACGTGGGGTTCCATCTCAGGACCCCAGGATCATGACCTGAGCCGAAGGCAGATGCGCTTAATAGGCTGAGCCACCCCGGCGCCCTGAGGGTGGCCTTTTTAAGGAGCCAAGAAATTCCTTTAAAAAATCAGAACATCTGAAACCAGATAGCCAGTTTCCTTACCAGGAGGCAGTTGCCGCCTAACAAAGGAAGTTTGACAGGAAGAAAAGTTCACTCCCAACGGAAGCCAGCGGAAGCCCGCTTGCTGAATGGAGCAGATAGCCCAGAAGTTCTGGGAGGGACCGCAAACCAGACCCAGCTCCAGAGCAACATTAGGTGTCAGCCAGCTGGCGCAGGATGCACGGTAGGTCTGTGCGTGGGGCCTGGAGGGAGAAGCTCACTTAGGTAAAGTTTCAGTACTGCTCAGGATCTACAAGGGTGCTTACTGAATTAACACCCACATCAGGGGAAGTTCTCAAAGGTAAATGACCCCAGACTTCCTTGCTCGGTGGCGTTTGCCTTGTATTGATAAGATGTCAAGAGTAAGCCCCTGGCTGCTGAACGGGTGACATTTCTCAATATTGAAAGGGTAATTGGGAGAGCGACAGCCTTACTACTAAGATCCATGCCCACTGTCATTACCAAATGACTGGCTTCCCCCATCACAGACCCCACTAAGAATCCTACTGTGATGATATGATCCCCACTACATCAGCCTGCCTTTTCTAGAACACCTTCACGCATACCGTCCCAGCCCTGCTTGGATGTGTGGCCAGTGCAGTAAGCTGTGACAGTTGTCTCACTGTCTGAATGTGAGAAAAAGAGTGTGGAGTTCAGCTATGCAGGTAGTTATTCCTCAAGAAAGTTGATGGGGGGTGGGGTTGAGGGGTGGGGTTCTATTCCTTTTTTCTTCTTTCTAGACTCTTTCAAGTTTCAAAATGAAGAAATGTGAGCTTTAAGACTAGAAAGCTTATGAGTAATAAGGACATGGGAAGAACGGGTCAAAATTAGTCAGAATATCTGTCATGGAATTGCATTCTGTTGGACATAGAACAGGTGGAAAGTCATCGGTGTATTTGTCATGAATTTGTATTCAGAAGCTTGCAAGGCAGATCTTAGAGACACCTGCTGTCAGTTTGTAGTTTACAAATAGGTTTGTGACATTTAGGATCACAGAGTATTGGAACTTAAAGAGGATACAGTCTAAAATCCTGACATCATGACCTGTAGGGATACATACAGTCACACTGAAACCAGAGTTCCTTGAAATTATATACCCTCTTTAAATGGGATGCATCCTAGAGGTTTCTATTGTGTTCTATCCCATTAAATAAAATGGGCTGGTCACGATGTCTGTGTGACAACCTGTAGTTTGAAAAGCACTGGAAAGAAGCAGAGTTTGCTGAACTATCAGGAGTGTCCTGTTCAGATACTTTCTGGTTTTGCCTGAAAATTCTGTGTCTTCAATGGAGTGAAACTGGCAGGCTGTGCCTCCCCCAAGAGAACCACCAAGAAGGCAGAGATGGGGACACTGGAGGGTGGGCTTCTTTTTTTGTTTGTTTTTTTAAGATTCTATTTATTTATCCATGAGAGACACACACAGAGAGGCAGAGGCAGAGGGAGAAGCAGGCTCCCTGTGGGGATCTGGATGCAGGCCTCGATCCCAGGACCCCGGGATCATGCCTTGAGTGGAAGGCAGATGCTCAACCACTCAGCCACCCAGGTTCCCCTCAGGGTGGGCTCCTGGTGCCAGACTAGGTGGCTTCAAGGCCAGTGGGCGGAACGCTTGGCCCTGCCCTTCCCTGGGGTGGCCCTATACTTCAGTTGCCTCTTCTTAAAATCCGGTCCAGTCACCTCAAGGGCTGTTGGTTGGACGCTTGTTTGGGAAGAGCTGGGCACATAGCGAGCATTTCCTCATAACAGTGGCTCTCATGTTTACTAATGTGGTCTTGTGGGGCGTGGGCATGAGTGGTTTCCTACCTTGCAGTCTTCTGCCCCTACCCCCCCCCAACAAACACACACACACACACACACACACACACACACACACACGTCCTTGGCCCATCGTTGCCTGTTCTACTCATCCTCACGTCCCGGGCCTGCAGGTCATCCACCTGCAAGAAGGAGCGCCTTTGGCACTGGTCCTGGTAACAGGGCTAGCGACGGCTCAGGAGGGAAAACCCGTTCATCACTGCCCCTGGCCTGGGAGCGGGGATGCTCCTGTCCCGGGAGCAGATCTGCTTCCTCACTTGGTTCCTTTCTGCTTGTTCTTTAGAGATCTGCTGGAGGGGACGGGCTTCAGCAGCAGTACGGTCTCTGTTCCGTGCAATGCTGTTTTCTCCCACTCTGTCCTGTTCCCAGAGGCCTGGGGGGGCGGGGGCGGGTAGGCAGATGACAAGTGGCCCCCCCTCAAGCCTGGCCTGGCCCTGCCCAGTCGGCTGCCTGCGGGCTGACTTAGGATCCACCCAGAGCCAGCGGATGTCCCCGGCGGAGACCGATCCTGGAGCTCAGACCGTGCAATGCCTGCCCTTCTACCGTCTGACTTCCAGATCTCAGGACTCTGCGTGGACAAAAATCCGTAAAGCCCAGGAGGAGAAGGCTGTCCCAAGTCTGGGAAGATGCCAGTAATGCTGGGTCCCCTTGTAGGTGCCAAAAAAGGAAACCGCTTCATTATGTGTCTCCCCGAGGCCAGGTGCAGAGCACTGGCTGTTCCAGTCAGTCCTCCCCGGGCCTGAGGGTTCATCACATTTGCAGGGGAGCCAGAGGCTCAGAGAGGTTCCCTGGCAGCCCCAGGCTGCACAGCTGATGATTTGCTGGGTTGGGATTCAACCCAGACCTGGGAGTCTGACGTGGGTCAGGCTGGTGTCCTGTCCTGGACCTTCTCAGCAGTGGGAAGAAGGCTGTCACCCCCTCCGAGGCCCCTCCCGCTTGCACTGCGGTGGGGAGGGGGCCGTGTTCCTCCTCTCTGGCCTTGCAGCCTGGCCCTGGCACCCCTGTGCCCCCACCACTGGCTTGCCAGCGGGCACTGCTATTCTGCCTGTCTAGGTGATGAGCTTTTGGAGGGCACTCTCCATGCCTTACATTTATTTGGAAAAAAAAATGTATTTGAGTAGCTCAAACTGTCTAAGTATAAACAGATTAGTTTTACTTAAAAATCTTCAAATGCTGTAGAACTATGTAGAGTTAACAAGTAATGGCTTTGCATGTAGGTGTTCACCAGCGGTTTCTCGATTGATCCATTTCCCCTTCCACCTTTCCCAGGGGGATCATTTAACAGAGTTTCCCAGAGTCCTGTCTGGGGGACTGCAGCTGAAGACCTCGCTGGGGGCACCTGGGGGGCTCGGCTGCTTAAGCGTCTGCCTTGATCCCAGGGTCCCAGATCCTCGGGCTCCCTGCTCAGCGGGGAGTCTGCTTCTCCCTGTGGCCCCCCCCCCCACCAAATAAATAAAATCTTAAAAAAAAAAAAACCAAAAAACTCTGCTGGCTCTTCCCCCATCCTCCATTCACTGCATTTGGGGCAGCATGTTCATAGTCTTCCCAGGAAAAAGGGGTGCAAACGGGCAGAAGGGGCGCCCCTGTGCTGAGATGACCACTAAGGCCAACAACACTCTTGAAACTGCCGGTGCCGGTCCCCTCCGGCGGGCACCCCCCCCCCCAGGGGACTCTGGTTATTGGGCCTCAGCAGGAGGAGTGAGGCCGGCGACCCGGGAGACAGCCAGCTATGCCCCTCGGGGGGAACGGAGGGAATGCACAAGAGGGGGGCTCAGAGGAGACGAACGCCCCGCTCCCTTCCTCTGCAAAGCAGTAGCTTTGAGGGTGGGGGGGCGTGGGGGTGGGGCCTCACGGACCCGCTGTCACTGAGCGCGTGCCGGGGTGACCCCCAGCAGGCGGCCTTCCCCACCTGGGGCTCCGCCCGATGGGCCTCTCCCCCACCCCCCTGCGGAAACCGCGGGGAAAATCCCAGCAGCTCCAGCAGCTCCAGCCGCTGCCTGCCGGTAGGTCGTGCTGAGCTCTCGCAGAGCCGCCGGAACTCGGGGCACCAGGGCGCACCCAGGGTGGCGGGGCTCCCGTCTGCCCGCCCCCAGCCCACACCGGGCACGCACCCGACTCCAGGGACCAGTTGACCGATTATCTCTTTTTCTCCTTAAAAGACCTCCCACCCCCGAAGACGATCCCACAGATAACCAGTCACTGCGGAGCTCAGCAACTGGGGGCCCGGGAAACCCTGCCCTGCCCGACCCCGTGTGCAGCAAGAGGGACCTCTGCGTGCGCCCCGTTTCCTCTGATTTGGGGCCCTTGTTGATGGAGCCGCGGAGGCCGGGCGGTTGGCGCCTGTTCTGTGGCCGCGATGAGGAGGGCTGGTGCTGGTGCTGGTGCCGGGCTAGTTGCTTTTTCTCCCTTCTCGCCCACATTGGGGCTCCTCTGCAGAGGAAGGGCGGGGGTTGGGATGAGGGACATCCCTGCAGGCCCCGGGCGGCACCAGGCCGCGTCCATGCGGCCCGCGGACCCACGGTGGCCATCCTGCCTTCCACGCTTTACCAGCACCCTAAGGAGCTGCTGTGCAGGGTCCCATCACCACCCTAAGGAGCTGCAGTGTGCAAGGCCCCGTCTGCAGGCGCCCTGCTCGTCCTCCGTTCTGTATCTGCACCCATACCTAAGGCTCCTTCCCAGAACTTTCCTTCCAGCACTCAGGACGGAGTCTGGGCCCGATGAGGCTCTGTGAAGCCTCCGTTGCCGTTATCGCTGGTGCCACAGCGCCACCCAGTGGCCAGTGTGGGTCCAGCCGGCCCCGGCTTCCCAGCCCCGCTCCTCAGCCCAGGGGTAGCACTTTCTGGATTTCTGCTGGCTTCGTGACCCTACTACCCGGACATGCTTCTCTTTTACAGGTGGTTATGAGAGGTTTTCCTCCGAGTACCCAGAATTCTGTTCCAAAACCAAGGCCCTGGCAGCCATCCCCCTGCTGTGCCGGCCAGCACAGTGGAATCCTTGGACGTGGGCTGCAGCTCCTGTGGAACCCCCCTGCACGACCAGGTAGACTGGGGGCCCGGCGCAATGTGGGGGCAGGGGGGCCTATTTTCAGGTTTCTGCTTTTCAGAGGCTTGGGATGCAGTGCCTCAGGTTAGGGAGAACGCAGGGAGCCCTGCATGTATTGGGGTGGGGTGTTAGGGAGGGTGCATCTGGTCCTCGGGATTCCTGCCTTTCCCTCTTCTTAGCCTCACTTGGAAAAATAATACAAAGACATAACTTTGTGACTTAGCCTCTGGAGTTCCACGCAGACGGGCGAGGAGTGCTGAAAACAGAAGTGTGTGACCTAATGCTTAGAAAGGAGAGGGCACCTCTCTGAAGGCTCATCCCAGGGCCCTGAGGCCACCCCGTCCCCTAAGAAAACCAGCTTAAGCTGCTGCATTTCTTACGAGCCGACTCCTCCTAGCCCTTTCATTTAGATGGAGAGGGAGTGAATTTATGGGGCCCAGGAGCTCTGTTCCTGGATCCCAGATCCTTTGGGTTGATCTGACTCCGAAAATGTCTCGGATTTTGGCCCGTGTTACTTAACACTGCCAAGATCTGTTCTCTTGTCTGTGAGGCCGACAGGACCTGTTTTGAAGGTGCCAAGTGAAGATGTATCCTACATATAAGTCCCTAAACCAACACACCAGGTAGCCTGGTGATTAGGTGTAGATTCATGTTGCCAAGGGTGTGGCAAGGCCAGCGCTGCGGCTGGCACCTCATTGATCAAGGGGCAGGTGCGGCCCACGCTGCCTTACCTGTCCTGACGACTCTGCTCCCAGCAGAGCGCCGTGTAAAGGCGAGAGGAGCCCACTGGGCCTGTCCTCCCGCCACGAGCCCCAGCAGGCTAAGGGGAACCTGGGAGGCCTGAGTCCGCAGGGCTTCTGCACCCCACCCCAGCCCCCGCCCGCCTGGGACCGGCTCCCTCTCCCTGTCCAAGCACCCCCACCTCTTCCCCCGGTTGCCTTCCACTCACGATGTCTGGGGGGCCTGTGCTTTTTCCCTTTCTGGTGCAGGGGGGTCCGGTGGAGATCCTTCCCTTCCTCTACCTTGGCAGTGCCTACCACGCTGCCCGGAGGGACATGCTGGATGCCCTGGGGATCACGGCCCTGTTGAACGTCTCCTCTGACTGCCCAAACCACTTTGAAGGACACTATCAGTACAAGTGTATCCCGGTCGAAGACAACCACAAGGCAGACATCAGCTCCTGGTTCATGGAAGCCATCGAGTACATTGGTAGGTTGGCTCCTGCAGGGCCGGGGAGGCCGGGTGCGGGCGGGTGAGCCGGAACCCCGAGGGCTGGCCTGCCCAAGGAGGGACTTGGGTGGGGGGGCTGTCTCCAGGGCCTTTCTCCCTCTGCCTCTACGGAGGGCTGGCTGGCTGGATGTTGGTGGGTGGGGGATACCAGATGGACTCTCACGCCCGCCACCACTGTTTCCCTTGCACGTCGCCAGATGTGTATATGTTTAAGGCTTTGGGGCAGGGGAGGAGGAGGACAGGTAAAGGGAGAATTGGGTCCTTGGCTTTGTTTGTGCCAGTAGAAATTCTTGAAGGTATGTTGGGGTCTAACCGGCCCGAACCCGGTTTTTCCCAAGCTTGGTGCCTTTGTTTGGTGCCATCTCAAGAGTAGGCCAGAGGGGGTCTAGCTCCCTTCAGCGGGCTGGGGATGTTGGTCCTTGGAGGGGTGTGCCCCTCCCTGCCTGGCCCTGTCCCCTTCCCTGTCCCCCACCCCCCATCCCGCCCCGGCCCGCCCTGACCCGCGCCTCTGCCCCAGATGCGGTGAAGGACCGCCGCGGCCGCGTGCTGGTGCACTGCCAGGCGGGCATCTCGCGCTCGGCCACCATCTGCCTGGCCTACCTGATGATGAAGAAGCGGGTGCGGCTGGAGGAGGCCTTCGAGTTCGTCAAGCAGCGGCGGAGCATCATCTCGCCCAACTTCAGCTTCATGGGGCAGCTGCTGCAGTTCGAGTCCCAGGTCCTGGCCACGTCCTGCGCCGCCGAGGCCGCCAGCCCCTCGGGGCCCCTGCGCGAGCGCGGCCAGGCCACCCCCACGCCCACGTCGCAGTTCGTGTTCAGCTTCCCGGTGTCGGTGGGCGTGCACGCGGCCCCCAGCAGCCTGCCCTACCTGCACAGCCCCATCACCACCTCCCCCAGCTGCTAGGGCCCGAGCCCGGGGCTGGGAGCTCGGCAATAAGGACCTCGGCCCGTCACAAGCCGACAGACAAACCCCCCGACCTAGAGCAATAACGGCCGCCTCCGCGGGCAGGGAACACCTGGGTTTGGTTCGTGTGTCCGTGTTACTTTCCAGATAGGAATTTCTTACCTCATTTTTTTAAGCAGTAAGGCTTGAAGTTATGAAACCCACAGATCCTGGCAAAGGTGCCCACCCAGTTTTACTAAGGGGGGGGGAGGGTAGGGGTGGGTGGGAAAGGTACAAAAAGAAAAGTTTGCCAGAAGTGCCTGGTTCTGTGTGCTTCGTCCTTTTTTGTTCTTGTAACAGGTTTTTTTTTTTTTTTTTTTTTTTTTTGTTGTTGTTGTTTTCGGGGGAGTGGGGGTTCATGTTTTTTTGTTGTTGTTGTTTGTAAAGAAATCTTACAGGACATGGTTTTCCTTTCGAAATCACCAACAGGTGGATAATTATGCTTAATAATAAATAAAAGTATTTATTAAGAATTTGCTCAGAGTATGTAAGTGCAAGGAGTCTAGTGACAGTGAATTTAGGGTGTATTTATGTCCGTGTCCGCGGCGGAGCCCCCTCGCATGCAGCTGTCAGAGCAGTGGGAGCTAGCTGGTACGTCCTAGGTATGGATAGGGTGGCCTGGCGGTCAGCTCACACTGGTAGCCACGGGGAAGCAGGCAGGGTGGGGTGGCAGGAGGAAGAAAGATGACTTTCGGATTCTCTTGAGGCTGGTTGCTGGCCACAGGCACCAGGAAAGCAGGGTGAGGGCCCAATGATACCACCACCTTTTCTTGCACCCCGTAATTCCATTTGGCGGTGGGAGCATTTTCTCCCAGCCTTGCCTGAAGACTTGCAGGTCTTCTGCGATAAATGCCATATCGTATAAGGTGCTCCTGAATAATTGGGTGCAGCTGAGATTTTCCTACAGTGAACCATCGAGCCAAGGCCACTGGGGAAACCAGCTAATAAGACACAGACCCGATGTGAATCCTCTGTGATTGGAAGTACCATCTTCTCTCCTCTGCAGAAATCGGTGTCTTTAATTTTAGAAGGTTTGCTTAGAAGGAAGTCCACCGACAAGTTCTTGCCTTTTTAAAATTCCTGGCTTAGGTGAATATTTTTAAAGGCTCTTGTTTGAATAAAAAGAGGGGAGTGAACACCATGTTTCAGCTCTAGAATGGAAGACGGTGTGAGTACGGAGCTGGCTAGAGTGCGGAGCTGGCTGCTGGGCTTCTATAACGGGCGCCGTGGGCACTCGGGTGCCGTTTCGGAATTCTTTCTTGGGATAATGCCATTTTAAGGAGCCTTTCCAAATGGAGACAAGGCTTTCGGAGGGAGAAGGATGTTTTCTGTGGGTTGGGCTTGGGGGGAGGGAGGAGGGAAGCTACATGTTACTTCGTCTGTAGTAGTGTGGAACGGTGTTGTTCCAGAGTGCCAGCGTAGAGGTATTTGCAAACTTGTCTAGAAATGAGAGCATGTTTGTTTTTTGTTTTTTTGTTTTGGGGTTTGTTTGTGTGTTTTTTTAGCCCCTTGTGAGTCTAAATCTAAATGAACATTCTTGCTCATCCATAAATAACTTCAAGCCTCAACATCAGAATAGTGTTGGAATGCTCTCTCTCATCCTGGCATCTCCGACAGGACCAGGTTCCTTACATTTCCTTCCATAACCATGAACCTGTGTTGGCATCACTCATCCTGCCTTTGTCCAGCCCTGTCTTTGGGTGAGGCCAGAGTTCCCACTTCCTGTTTTCAGAAAAGCCAAAGGCGCCCTCCATCCGTGGGATCTGCTTGGCTGAGTAGGTAGGGGTGAGGTGAGCGGGGTTGGGGTTCCTGGACAGTGGACCTATTTAGAGATGGCACAGTTGGCCGTTCTCACTTTTTCCTCGATTCCTGGAAGTTGCTCTATGTTCTGTGATGAGTGAGGTCCTTTGAGTCCTGCAGCTGAGAGAGCTGTGGGTTCCAACCCCCGATCGGCCTGGGGCGGGCGGGTGGGCGGGCGAGGCTGTTGCAGGCAGAGGGAAGTAACCCGGAACAGACTCACTTTCTCTAGGACAAGTGTACATTTGCCAAAACCTGTGTATCGTGCTTTCCCAGACTGGATTCCAACCACATGGACAGTCGGAGCTCAGGACCAGCCCCAGACATGTCTTTCTCCCTTCTTCCAATTCAAATCTGTCACCATATCCGACTGCTGGTTATAAAGCCATTTCTTTGTAGTTGGTAACAGTGTGAGTCCCAGAACTCTCAGATAAGAGGAAATTGGCTTGATTGGAATGGGGGATTTTTTTTTTTTTTGTCATAATTCTGCCATCAGAAGCCTCTTTGATGACTCGAAATAACTCTACAATGAAGACCCCACCACAGGGTCTGCTCAAATGGCCAGGTGGATTTCAATTGGCATCTCTCCCATGAAGTGATTTCTGGTAATGCAAGATTTCTGTAACGGCCAGAAAGTATTGCCACTTTGACGGATCCTATCAACTGTGCTGTCGGCTACCTTGGATCTTTTCTAGAGACCAAGGGATGCGGTCTGCTCCCTTCTGGAATCTTGTGTGACCCAGGGATGTTTGTGGAGCACCAAGGGTAATGACTTGACTTCCCCATGGAGAAGTCCTAGGCTGAGGCCGCTGTGAGCAGGTGGCTGGCTCATGGCTTTAGTCATCCCTCCCGAGGCCAGTTTGCTCAGGTGCTCCTCCCGGCTGGATTCCAGAGTTTTCAACAAGGTTGCAAAGCCAGGAGAGAAAATTTGAAAAATCTGTGGGCAGAGGGAGGTAGGATGATGGTTGATTCGGATGGGAGTTGGCCACCAAGCCCATAGTATCAAAATGGTGGTTCACCTTGGCTGGCTGTCGGCATGGGCTGGGGAGTTCTGAAAACCTTATTACCAGGCTATCCCGGGGCAATGAAACCAGGATTTCTGGAGCTGGGACCCAGGTGTCCGTGTGCTTCAAAACTCCCTAAAGGCTTCCTTTCCATGTGTGGCCAAGGTAGGGAAGACCTCCTTGCTTTCTGGAGGGCTAGGTGCTGTTGGGGCGGATCTTAATAACCCAGAACTAGCTGGTCTCACAGAAACCACAGCCAAGGGTTTGTCACTGGCTCAGCAGGTCTCGCCGCCAGTCCCAGCCCGGCTGAGGGACAAGATGGTTTCTCTGAGGAGCGCAAGGAGCATGCGATCTCTCAATCAGGGCACCTACCATGCTCCTCCAAAGGCAGCTGATCTATGGAGAATTGTGAGGGAACCGAATACAGTGTCTGGAGGTTGGGATTTTTCCTTCAGTGTTCCCTGTCTAGCAAGAAAGATGGGGGAGTTTCACCTCTTGAAGATACCCCTGCCCCCCCAGGAGCACCCTGCCCATCCTTAGAGCTAATGAGTCATATGAGGAAGAGGCTTCTTCAAGACAGAGCAATGCAATACTTGTAACTTTTGTAAATAGCCCCATCTTTCAGAGTGCTGTCATTTCTACATTTGATATGCTTGTATTTCTGTAGGATGTATATAGTTTAGGGGATTTTGTTTGTTTCATTTTGTTTTTTAGAACAGTCGACATGTCTTTTTATTTATTGCTTGAAAAAAGATCATTTGAAGAAAAATAAATACGTTTTCAACCATGTCTGGCCTGGTTTATCCTTTCCTTAAAAACTGCACTGCTGTGATGACTTGGAAGGGAACCAAAGAAGGTCTGGGGCGTTTGATAATCCTGTGCACCTAGCGACATCCATGGTAATAGTAGACTGTCTGGCAAAATCAGCGAGCCCAATTTTGCTCCCTGAACACCACCCAGGGACAGTGACTGGAGCAGGCTGACCTGCATCTCTAAGAACCTGGTTTCTCCAGGCAGAGCCTCTGATGGGAAGAAATAATTGAAGCATAAGAGACAGAGAGTTCCTTCATCTGAGAATCTGCTTCTGGCCAGGCACACGATGGCTCCTTGGCTTTGGAGAAGTCTATCAAAGGGCCTAAGCACAAGGTGACATGTAAAGCGTTACCCTGCTCGGACACCCCTCCTCACCTGGCTCACACAGAATCCTAGGAAATTTTCCTGACTTCATAGTCCATTGGGATCATGGAAATTAGCAATATTTTTCAGTATTGTTACTATTATTCAAGGCCAGATGGGAAAAAATACATGGATTTAAGTCCGTGTTCCCCAGGGCTGATCTGTGGATTGCTTGTATCAAATTCTGGTACGAATTTCCCAAGTCGTAAACCAAAAACATGCTAGCAAACATGCATTCCCACTGAATCACTGTTATTTAACATTCTGGAAGCACCAGCCAATGTGATTGACACCTGAAAAAAAATGAGATATAATTTGGAAAGTGGGAAGCCAAGTTTGCAGATGATGGGTGTCCGAGAAGCCAGAGAATCAACTGAAAGTCCATCAGGAATAAGAGGATTCAGTAAGTGCTTGATTGTGAAGTGATTATGAAAAAATAGCTCTCCTAGGTAAGAAATAGCAATTAAAAATAAAAGAGAAGTAGTAGATCCCACTTCCAATATAATTTCAAGATGAAAAGCCTACAATAAACTTAACCAGAGATAGGCAAGAGACCCATATGTGGCCATGGTAAGGCCCTCCCTACCAAGGGACGTAAAAGAACTCTTGAAAAAAGCAAAGGATGTATTACGCTCTCAGATACACAGAATACTGAAAAGATATTCTCTATAAATTAATTTACATTTAATGTGATCTCAAAACAACCGGGTTTTTGAGGAACATGGCAAAATGATCCTTATTTCACCTAGGGATCTAAATCTGCAGAAATAGGCAGCACAACTGATAGAGTACATGGGAGAGACTCAAGGTGGGGGGATGGGATTTATAGCTTCTGTGCTGTGGGAGATGACTTAAAAACTAGGGATTTGGGGGCCCACCTAAAGACTCATTCCCTACAGACTCCCACAGGCGATTTCTGATTTCCAGCTAGTTCACGAATGCCTGAAACAGCTCTGTCTTCCATCACCCTTCCTTTTGACCCCCAGACCAGAACTTTCAATTACTGTCACTCTTACTTTGACGATACCCAAGGACTTCATTGTGTAAACCAATAACCACGTAATTTTGCTCATGAGTTTGTGGATTAGAAACTAGGGAAAAGCTCTGCCGAGTAGTCCTCCCCGGGAGTCTCTCAGGTGGTCACAGGCAGCGATGGCGCTCGTGCTGCTGTCATCTGAAGGTAGTGAGGCTGGGCATCCAAAATACATGCTCGAATGAC